GGGTTTATAAGTAACATACTTAATTGCATTTCTTCTACTTTTAAAAATGTATGGAAAATTTTCTAAGCTGTGATAGTGCAAGAGTGAGTCTATCTATGTTAGTTAGATAGCAGCTATCTTCTGTGTAAAGGTTGGTAGAGTTTTTCTGGTCTCTGTTTCCCCAGTTATCCCATCTAAGTCCGTTTCCTATTCTATAGGAGCATTAGGACCACTTATCACTATCTTCATTTCCTATCAGAAAATTCAAAGTTGAGAGGTCATTTGCAAAGGAAACTATCATGGCTCGTCAGCCCTGAACTTCTTACTGAATGAAGCATGAGGGATTAAGTTTCCATTCAGACTGCTGTTTGTTTTCTGAAGATTTCTGTAGTTTTTCTACAAAAATTCAAACTTACAAAAAAGAACAAGAAAAAAAAAGGAGAGGACAGAAAAAAAAAAAGATATATCTTTTAATCTTCTAGGAAAAAGATCTGTCTTACTGAACTTGGAGCAAGACCATATGTAAACTATGTAGTGGAACACAGTAAAAACACTCTTCCATTTTGCAGTGCAGATGGAACTAAGGCTTTGATGAAAAGCCTGATGAAGGTATCTTTTAAGTCAAAGGCCAGAAGAATTTGGCCCTAATACAATTACATCAGTTATGTTCAAATGCTGTTTCAAGTGTAATTATGTTCATCCAATCCATCTAGCTACACGTACAGTATATGTTAATAAAATGAATCCTGGAGTTACCAATGAAATATTTTACTTTTCAATCAGAGGAGAAAAAAGAAACTTTAGTTTGCATTCACTTATCTTTCCAATTACTTGGGAGAAGTCAGCAAATACACTACTGTGTAGATGCACACAGAGACTCCAGATATAGATGGTGACTATTTTTAGCATGTTTCTTACCAGACTAAAAATTCGCTGTAGTTTTCACTATCTATTGCAGGGAGGATCTGAGATTTAAATTCTTTTGTATTGAAACTAGAATTTGAACCTTTTTTCATATGATAATTGGATGAGTATCTAGCTATGCCATTCTTCAGCAACTGCATTGTTATCACGTGCAGTGCCCTCCCACTTCGTTACAGGTCATCTTTCCCTTTTCCCATGAACAGTAACAGCATCCAGAAACTCAGCATCTATGCGGGAAAGGTGATCATCTTTAAGTATGTACTACAGTCTAGAGAAGTGTTTGAGAGCTACCTTCTTTTGTATTCTCAGCAGGTCTATGAGGTAGTCTGAAGTAATGTTGCCTTCTGCCTTCCCTAACACAAAGAGCAGTTGAATATCAGTGTCTGAGCAGAGGAGACCGAAAAGCTGAAAATCAGAACAGAGTCTGATGTTCTTTTATCAGGATGAAACAATCATGCAGCTCTGCAACTGTAGTGGCACTGGGCAGTACCAGTAGAGTCTATGGACTCTCTGGCACCTCTCAGAAATAAAGGTCTGTAGAATACCACAGGGGAGAAGTCCCAGGGGAGTTGAGCAATGTCCATCCCACATGTTAAGAAAGTGGATAAGGCAATATGCTGGCGGATCACATTTGTCTCCTATGACTCCTACAGGCCAACACAGCCTTAGGAGACTGTTTCTGGTTGCTTCAACCCCGCCCAGCCCCTCTTACTGCTCCATGCAGTGCAGGAAGAGGTTGGGAGGGCAGTAGATACAGTTGGGAAAGGCAGCATTTTGTTCCTTCTAGCTCTGTCCTGATCCAATGTTGGAGGAGGTTTTGATATGATCCCAAGAGCGAGATTAAGTCACAAACAAGATCAAATGTCATACATCCAAACCAGGTTTTATTATTAAAAGTGAAGAGTGGTAGTGATAGGACAGAATGGAAGGAAAAGAAAGAAATCAACCAAGCATCCAGAATAGAGTTGCAAGAATAATCACCACCATGGATACAGCAGCGTGCGTCCTGTTGGTCTTCAGTGGTAAGTGTACAAACAGCGAAGTTCTCTGTCAACTTTTAAGCTCATTTGATCAGCTGATTTGCATACTAGACGAAGAGAGGCGGGTATTCCATGAAATCATTTCCATGAGAGACAAGAAAAAAGGTGGAGCATGGGTTCTGCACATATAAAGAGGGGGAATGGGGTGCACCACCCATTGACCAGTAGAGAAGTGGTTGTGCTCGCCCTGCCCACCTTTGTTTTTGTCTCAGTTCCTAGAGATTTTCTGACTTTATGCTTCTTGAGCAATCATCTGGCTTCTGGGGCAAAAATGACTACCTCTTATCAGTTCTTATCACCTCCTCACTGTTGAAGTGGCAAAGCCATTTGCAAGGCATGCATGCCACCTGGCATACACAATAGAGCCACAAAGTATTGGGTTTACACAATGGATCCAGTGATCAGCGGTCCTTGTGCTTGATGGGAAACATTTGGTTTCATTCAGTCCCCCTCTTTGAGGCTTATCTAAGGAGTCTGTCAATACAACTGCAAGGGAGTGGGAGGGTGCATCCTTCCATATACTCCTGCTTCCTTGCGTGTTCCTTAGACCAATTACAAAGGCCACAGCTGGTCCTCGATGAACGTTTGAGGCATTACTTACACCACCTCGTGGCTTGGAGCACACACACAAGCAGGCTTTGAGACAATCATTTGACATTTCAGTCTCTCACAAGCTCCCACCAGGTTTATTGTAGAGCACAGCCAGCCCTAGGAACTTCTCAATGAAGGCATGCTGTGGTGTCTGTAAGGAAAGGGATTATTGTTGTGTACAAGCAAGAGCCCACTGCCTACTGTGCAGCATGGATACCCTCTGAAAAGCCCTAGGAAAAAAACCCTGGTGCCCTGCCACAGCTGATGCAGGTGCTGCACTCTGGAGACCAGCTCCTCAGACCTGCCAGGCATCCCTCTGCACCACAGATCCCCAGGAATGCACAGGGACCGGCTGTTGGCGTCCTGTTACCAAAGTGGGGACTGTCACCAAAATCAGGAATAAAGCTCCTTAATGTTGGGTTTTGCATTAATGAGCAGACATTACTTTATTTGGCCAGGGACATGAAGGAATCGTTCCACCCATGTCCCATGTCCACTGTATGTTGATTCAGCCAGACTACATCACTATTACATACTTCTACATAAAATTCCCCAGAACAAATTATCCTATCGACATAGTCATTAAGCATGTGGCTGTGGGGCTCTGAGGGGGTTCCATAGGGCCTTTGGCAGTCTTAGCTCCGTTTATTAGTCCTTGATTACTCATCCAGTTTTGACTAGTTTTCTTAAGTACATTCTGAGATAAAACGGTGTAAACTGCCCTTGCTGATCCAATTAGGGGATTCGCTTAAGGTTCTAAATCTCCTGGTTAATCCTAGGGGGATTTCAGCATGGAAACCAAGTGTATTAAGTAATTTACCTGTGATACCCTCACTGCACAAGGATGAGTCAGGAGCTATATGAAATCTTAAAACGTGTAAGGAACTTGCAATTCCTTAGCTTTTGCATCTTGTAGAAATCAACTCTAAGGGTACTTCTTCAAGACGTAGGAGTGGGTGTTATTTACAGGTCCTGGCTGTCAGTTTTCAGTGACCAAGTTCTCCGTGTCTCTGGAATTTCTATAAAAAGTTACAAATGGAGACAGACAAGACTTGCAGAATAGCTGTCCTGATTAGAAGCCACACAGAATACACAATCAGACAACTTCGCTTTTGGTTCTGTCACTTAGTTTTTAAGAACATAACAGAAAAATCCATTTTTGTTTTTAAATTGAAAAACTGCGTGGCGATTAGACTGGGTGACTCTAATAGAGCTTGTTGACAGATTAGTACCGGTTTAGTTAATCTACAGATTCAAATTTTAACCAATTTATGTATGCACAAACTCCCTCCTAACTTTTCATCTATCGGGTTTTAGCCAGCAGAATAAAATAACCACAACTGAACTTCAGGTATAATTAAAGAATAGTTGAACCGGCCCACAACTTGGTGCTATCAACAACATTTCATTTTAAACCACATTTCTTCCAGTTTACCGTAAGTCTCCAAGGAAGGGGTACTGACAGACACACATGTTAATTAAACGAACTAAAAATGCCTTTCAGGCCGTTTTAGCAGGACGGGCTGAACCTCCCGCGCAGACGCTTCCCTACAGCTAAACTGACCCTCCTGTGAGTGATTTTGCTCCCAAAGTAGTGATGCAACCTGTCCTCCGGCCGGTGCACGCCCCGGCTCCAGGCCCCGGGAGAGCTGAGGCGGCCCCGGGGG